TATTATAACTGTTGTTATAGTTATTATAACACTACTTATATTTATTATAACTCTTGTTATATTCATTATAACAGTTATAATATAACAAGAGTTATAATAAATAACAACAGTTATAATAACTATAACAACAGTTATAATAACTATAACAACAAATATAATAACTATAACAACAAATATAATAAATAGAACAACAGTTATAATAAATATAACAACAGTTATAATAAATATAACAACAGTTATAATAAATATAACAACAGTTGTAATAAATATAACAACAGTTATAATAAATATAACAACAGTAATAATAAATATAACAACAGTTGTAATAAATATAACAACAGTTATAAATGTCAGGGAGCAGAGTGTTTTTGTGCTGCTCAAACTTTTTCAGCATGTAGGAGCAGAACTAGTCAAATCCAGGCTCCAAAGAGACGTTGGTGTGTTTACCAGTTTGGACATAACCAGTGGTGTAGTCTACAAGATATTTGGGCATATGGAGTATACCCACTAGAAAAGTTTAAGAATGTCAGTATAACAACTTAAAAGTGCCCAGTGATGCATGACATATCATTAGACACGTGTCATTGATGCGTTAAACGGTAGTTAAATGCTTCCGTAACAATCTGTCTGTATGCAGCTCTTCTTTATTACATTCGCTTATCCAGCAAACTAATGTATAATTATGTACTTACTATTTAATTCTTGAACATGTTTTGCATTGATACTGTTTTATACATTTTATAACATGTTTTTAATACAAAGCCAACAGTTGTACAGATTTCTTTGTTCATTTATTCAAATAAGCAACAGAGAAATTTGGAAATGTTCAACATACTTAAAAATCAAAATAAATAGTTGATTACATTGCACTAACCAGTGTGCATTGGTTTTCTAAGTACACAGTATACCCTCTACAAAAATGTAGACTACACCACTGGACATAACTGTCATGCAGAAGCTGCATGTACGATTAGTGCAGCTTTCAGGGTTGCCAGATCAATTTAAAATATCTTATTTACACCCTCTTTTTTTGTGCTCATGTTCAACACACACCTCATCTTTTTATTCAGCACATATGACAGTTTAGGTCAAAATACTATAATTTTAAAGCCACAGTACTATAGTTCATTTCTCATCTGGCAACCCAACTGGCATGGAAACTACAGTGTTTTTGTGTAAACCTGCTCATTTTTTTTTATTACCCCCAATAAACATAGTATAAAACACTAACGTTTCCAGAGGTTGTTCTCGTGTAAACGGGGCTTTATAGCAGATAGATCACTTTGACTTGGTCATTTTAAAAGGAGCTCGCATGATTAAAAAGTGTGGACACCCATGTGTTAGAGATTAGACATAAAGCTAGGCAGAAAGCAAACACTAAACTTTAATTACCCAATGATAAAAACCTGTAGAACTTTCCTCACAAAGCAGCTGCTTGTTCTACAACCACCTCGTCAAGCTACAAACTGTCCAATGTGGTCAAAACAAAAGTTTGAACTAAGTAATGTTCTTTCTTTGTAACAACAACTGTCCAGTGGATCAATGTTGGCGGGACAGGGATGCATCTATTCTGACAATAAAACTGTCAAGTACAACTAATGGATGTGACAGTCGCATTCATTCTTTACAATTTGTCCAAGTAAACTAGACTTTATATATAAAAAGAAAAACACACTGCAACAAGTCCTGTTGGCAAAAATAACTACATAAAATATTAATCAAAATAGTTTTATTATAATTAACTTGTGGTTTGACATGAACATAAATTTCCATACAGTATATCACAAATTTTACCAAAACACATTACATTCACTGACAAGTTAGAGATGACCAATGGTTGGGAATTAAAACAATAAAAAGCGAGAACATTGTTGTCAGGTTTTTAATGCAACAGCTCAAATGTACCATGATCTCTAACTAAGTGCCCATTATGTTGTATTTTTCCATATCTCAGTGTGGATATTTAGTTGCTGGTAATTATTGTCTACAGTTCAGAATCTGTGAAAATCACAGAAAATGAGGTTCCTCCCTCGGGATCCTGCAACAGGTTTTAGCTACAGCAGTTTTTGTTTGGTTAGAGGTACTTCTGCCTGCACCAACAAACAAAACTAAATTAATATTGCAACAATATGGGATGAGAATCAGCACCTCCAAATCTGAGGCCATGGTTTCCAGTCAGAACAGAGTGGATTGTTCTCTTCAGGTCCAGGTTCTGCCTCAAGTGGAGGAGTTAATGTATGTTGGGTTTTGTTCACGAGTGAGGGAAGAATGGAGCGTGAGATGGATTGGTGCAGCATCTGCAGTATTGTGGACTCTGTGCTGGTCCGATGTGGTGAAGAGCTGTAAGGCAAAGCTCTCTGTTTACCTGTCGGTCTACGTTCCTCCCCTCAGCTCTGGTCATGAGCTCTGGGTAGAGACTGAAAGAATGAGATCGTGGATACAGGAGGTTGAAATGAGTTTCCTCTGCAGGGTAGCTGGACTGTCCCTTAGAGACGGGGGAGAAGTTCATCCAACAATTTTCAGTCAGGTCATCTGGACAGTTTATTTTATTTTTTTTTTTTTGCTGAAACTTTTCACCTATCCAGAAAGCTTCATCAGTCAAGGAAATGCACAACACAAAACTGAGTCTTCCCCCAAACAGCTTACTCCAAAATGGAAAAAAAAACAGTTATGCTGGTGCTAAGATGGTGTCTTTGGCACGCCCCCTTCTCTTGTGCTGGCCCTCTTCCTCGTCGACAGTCATGTCAAACTGGTTCAAACCAAAAAAAAGTCCATGCTCATGCATGGTGTGTTTCCTTGACTGATGAAGCCTTCTGGATAGAAGGTGAAACTTTTCAGAAAAAAAAAAAAAATGAAAGAAACTGTCCAGATGACCTGACTGAAAATTGTTGGATTGTATACCTGGATTATTGAGCATGGACTTTTTTTGGTGAGAAGTTCAGTTATCTGGAGAGACTCAGTAGAACCTCTGTTCCTCCACATCCAGAGGAGCTTGTTGAGGTGGTTCGAGCATCTGGTAAGGATGCTCCCTGGGCGCCTCCCTAAGGAGGTGCTTCAGGCATGTCTGACTGGGAGGAGACCCCAGAAACACTGGAAATCGCTGTCTTGCTTTATTTACTTGTTTTCTTTATTATGTAAAATACTTTGATTTGACCGCAGCATCAGGAGCTTGTCCACAAGTTGCAGGTCCAGTCCCCTCACTTGGAATCAACCCGGTCAACTCTTTGATTCAGGAAGAAATAATGAATGACACCAGACCTTCCCATGAAATGGATTTGTAATCAGAGTCAGAGTCAGAGTTTCTTTATTGTCATTCGCACCTCATGTGGTACATGTGGTGGAGCGAAATTATGTACACAGGGTCCCAGTTACATCCGACAATAAAATGTATAAGAAAAACAGTGAACTAAGAAAAACATCAACTAAATATACACTAAGCACTCATAACATAAAAACATTGAACATCAGCACAAACATGAACATGAGTCTGTGAGCAGATGTGCACGCATGAACACATCAACATTGAAACAGATCAGCAGCAACATGAAACAGATCAGCAGCAACATGATATGGTTTTTCACAGTGATTATTCTAGTTAGAGATTCATGAGTCTAACAGCCTCAGGGTAGAAGCTGTTCCTCAGTCTAGTGGTTCTACAATTATAATAATAATAATAATAATATAATTATTAATAATCAATTGTTCAATTGCATTTAAGCTCATGAAAAGATTAGACCTCACAATAAAGAAGCTCCAACACAAACTCTCCACCAGTTTTGAATTGATACCAGGTATGCTAAGCTAACAGCCATTCAGATTGTGCTTTCCTCAAAAATATTTTAGAATCAGTTCAAAAAAAAATTATTTCACATTTATATTTCCTCTTTCTTCATAACATTTATTTTTGAATTTTACATCAACTCTCAGGTGTATCAAACGTGTTTATTCAGTGCCCTGGTTTAGAACATTGTTCATTGACAACTTTCATAATTTTCT